GATGAGAACAGTGTAAGCGTTCAAGCAAACCACTTCTGAAGATGCAAGCCACTCGTGCTTGCGAAACGTCAGGCAGAAATTCTACCGAACGACGGCCTAAAAACCCGAAAAACCCATTAGTTTCACATGTTCAGTATTTTGAATTATTCAACACTTTTCACGTTTTGCCAATGTTTAAAATGGAAAATTTCGATTATTCCACATTTCTCTGATGTAAGCATGTTCGCTTTCGGTTCAAGCATCTTCGAACGCTTTCGGAAGATCTAAAAGCATCTGGATCGAAGCATTTTCATAAAAAATTATAGACTTATTGATTTTTTATTTGGTTGCGTTGATTTATGTTTATTGCCACCCTTAACGACGCTAGAAAAATGTCACCCTAAAACACTTAAATCGAATCGATAATAATCCGTCCAGCAACTCTGGAAAAGCTCGATTTGCCATATTTACAATTGTGAAGTCAAAAGTCGAGGTTCAGGTTGAAATCCTGAATTCATTGCCGTTTAAAGAGAAACATTAATATTAATAAGTTTAAGAAATCGGATGAAAAGTCACCGCAAATGCATGAAAACTTCTTCATCGTTGCCAGCAAAATGTAGAAAAGTAAAACAAAAAAGCCAACTTTTTCACCATAATGGGGAATAAACAAATCACTATGTTTGTCGCCATTGCTGGTCACGGTGATTAGACGATGTTGTGCCAGTGTTATGGTATTCTACATGAGCAATAAATTTCCGCTATTATTTTTCCGCACAAGTACCGGACTCGCAGCTGCTCCGCTCTGAAATCAATGCAAATTTAGCGGAACGGTGGCCGTTTTATCGAGGAAGTTATTCGGTTTTATGTTTTCCTCCGACATGCCTGCAAGAAAAGGGACATGTGCCTCGATACTTGAGCGATGGCGATGGATATTTCATAAAAAGCCCCGGAACTAAAAAGCGTAACAGGATTTTCTGAAGAAAGAGCCGATAAAGGCGGCCGTCTTTTCACCGCCGCATAAAGCCCGAGCAGGATCACCTGGAACTCCAGATCTGCGGTATTAACAAAAAACACACCAAGCATTTAATCATTAAGGTAAATACAGACGGTGAATGAATAAATTCTAGTTGGTCTTTTTGAGGTTTATAATTTGTCACTTTTTATCCTCGCCCAGTCTTGTTTTTCCATTGAAGGTTTTTCGCATCAAAACCGCCGAAAACATCAAATTTCCCTCGAAAAAATTAATAAAACCAGCATGAGAAAGTGCTCGAACATGAAAAGCTGAATAGCTGTCCTGAAACATCGGCCCTACCCTAACTTTTGCGCTGATTTTCGCTTCCTAATATTTCATACAACAAAGCATGTGTCACTCCAACCCTCATCCGCCAACCCCATGTACCATTGTGATTTCCATGGGACCAATTGGGAATTCAAAATTCACGTTGTTAATAAGTCGATTGGTAAGCCACCCTTATACGGGAAGCCATTGTGCGAACCCTAATACGATTCCGAATAAATATGGCGAATTGCGAATAGGACAGCGAATTTAGCGAGCAAATGGCTAACAAAATGCATCTAATTTCATTTGCACAGTTTTGGTTTCGATAATAAGGTCGGCCCTGTTTGGATTTGCTGCTGTTTCTAATTGGCTCAAGTGTGGGGATTTTTCACCTGGTTTAATCAATTCGATGGAGCGAAAACACTTTTGTTCACTGGAGATTTTCTTTGATTAGTAAAGTCAGTAAACAAACAACTATTTTACAACTTCCTTTTAATTAACTGAATATTCAACGTTAAGCACTTTTTGATCATCACGTCCTCTTTTACACTTCATTGTTATCGCGAAAAATCGCATTAAAATCATCGGTTATTGCTGAAAATCATCCGCTTGAGAAATTCATTTCGTCAAAACACACCGAGCAAAAGTCGTAAAATTAAATCCTTTCCTTGATTAATTTTTTTATGTGGAAAAATCAACATTCTTCAGCGTCTATAATCTACCTTTTATTCCATTCAACTGCTTTAAGAAGGTGAAACTGGTCATTGAACAAGTAGCGTGAACTTTTAGTGGATATACTTATTATAGTTATTTTCCTCCATTCACATAAAAGCCCAATCGTAAAAGAGAAATATTTCTCATTTACGTTAAAGTGTAAAGAACGTAAACGTTTAAAGCACATCTGTTGAACGATATATTGAGAATGATTAGCGGTTATGGGAGCTTACTTACAGCTGTTTGTTTGCATTATCATGCCGTGAAGGACCAAGTTATGGAAAAAAATATAATTAATTTGTTGTCATCGCTTTGATTCATATGGGTTTTTGCCTAAATACGCCCAGTTTTTACGGCTGATTTTGCAAATCCAAAACTGGTGAATTTTTCGAACTCACCAGCTTTAAGCAATAGCCGCGAAATCCTTTGATATTCAAATTTTACTTATCAGATAGGCAATATGCATATTAAAAACCCAACTTGAGTGGTTGTTTTAAATGGGTTTCCACTTCCCTTTCACTGTTCTTGAGTTTCCACTTCCTGAAGCAAACTGTTTCCGGTTTAACTGGGAAAATGGGGGCGATTCGATTCATCCAATTAGTTTCCCATTCTCAAATGGCATTTTATGGATAGTTTTTTTTTGGAAGAGTATAAGAACGGAATATCAAGCAAAAGCGATTGAAAGGCAAATATGCGCGCACTTTGCTCGTTCTTAGTAACTATTTTTTGTCTGGTTCAATAACTTCGTTCTCTAAATGATCACTTTCAACTAAGTTTAGAAGAATACTGGAAACCAACATTAACCATTAGAAACAGTTTATTACCTCGAAAATATATTGTGTTTTCGCAGGCAAATCACCGCAACTAATCCGCCTTTGGATCATTCACGGATCCACATTTAGGCCATTTTCTTCACGCGTAATTTTCGTATACTGAGAGTTCTAAATTGACATCGTATAGTTTCAGGGAAAGCATGTTTGCGGCAGGTTAATGGCCATTAACTTTGCTAAAACGTTTTTAATTTCTTCCTCTTTTGAACGGATAATAATTTACTCTTTAGACCTTCTGCGCTGTTCGGTAGCAAGTTTTTAGAAAATATGGCTGTTTTACCTACCGTTGCTTTAGTTGCAGGTGCAACCATTTATTGTCGCAATAGTTAGGTTGTAGCTTGAAAAAGCCGTTACTTTCGGTGAAATTTTCGGGCGAAAATAAAAATACGGGACCCTAAAAACTAATTAGCAGAGTTTCCCACTAAAGAGCTGGCAGAAGTGCATCCGAAAAATAAAACCGTACGTATTTACGGCTGTTTTTGCACACCGGCAATCATTTTTGAAATCGATCCGTG